CCGGTACCAGCCATTGCAAAAACATGCCAAAATGTAAAGACCATCGAGGCTAGGAAGAAACTGCATCAACTAATGAGCAAAATAACCAGTTAATATCATAATGGCAGGATCAAGTTCACACATAACAATATTAACCTTAAATGTAAATGGACTAAATGCTCCAATTAAAAGACACAGACTGGCAAACTGGATAAAGAGTCAAGACCCATCAGTCTGCTGTATTCAGGAGACCCATCTCACACGCAGAGACATACATAGGCTCAAAATAAAGGGATGGAGGAAGATTTACCAAGCAAATGGAGAACAAAAAAAAGCAGGGGTTGCAATACTAGTCTCTGATAAAACAGACTTTAAACCATCAAAGATCAAAAGAGACAAAGAAGGCCATTACATAATGGTAAAGGGATCAATTCAACAGGAAGAGCTAACTATCCTAAATATATATGCACCCAATACAGGAGCACCCAGATTCATAAAACAAGTCCTTAGAGACTTACAAAGAGACTTAGACTCCCATACAATAATAATGGGAGACTTCAACACTCCACTGTCAACATTAGACAGATCAACGAGACAGAAAGTTAACAAGGATATCCAGGAATTGAACTCATCTCTGCAGCAAGCAGACCTAATAGACATCTATAGAACTCTCCACCCCAAATCAACAGAATATACATTCTTCTCAGCACCACATCACACTTATTCCAAAATTGACCACATAATTGGAAGTAAAGCACTTCTCAGCAAATGTACAAGAACAGAAATTATAACAAACTGTCTCTCAGACCACAGTGCAATCAAACTAGAACTCAGGACTAAGAAACTCAATCAAAACCGCTCAACTACATGGAAACTGAACAACCTGCTCCTGAATGACTACTGGGTACATAACGAAATGAAGGCAGAAATAAAGATGTTCTTTGAAACCAATGAGAACAAAGATACAACATACCAGAATCTCTGGGACACATTTAAAGCAGTGTGTAGAGGGAAATTTATAGCACTAAATGCCCACAAGAGAAAGCAGGAAAGATCTAAAATTGACACTCTAACATCACAATTAAAAGAACTAGAGAAGCAAGAGCAAACACATTCAAAAGTCAGCAGAAGGCAAGAAATAACTAAGATCAGAGCAGAACTAAAGGAGATAGAGACATAAAAAACCCTCCAAAAAATCAATGAATCCAGGAGTTGGTTTTTTGAAAAGATCAACAAAATTGACAGACCGCTAGCAAGACTAATAAAGAAGAAAAGAGAGAAGAATCAAATAGACGCAATAAAAAATGATAAAGGGGATATCACCACCGACCTCACAGAAATACAAACTACCATCAGAGAATACTATAAACACCTCTACGCAAATAAACTAGAAAATCTAGAAGAAATGGATAATTTCCTGGACACTTACACTCTTCCAAGACTAAACCAGGAAGAAGTTGAATCCCTGAATAGACCAATAGCAGGCTCTGAAATTGAGGCAATAATTAATAGCCTACCAACCAAAAAAAGTCCAGGACCAGATGGATTCACAGCTGAATTCTACCAGAGGTACAAGGAGGAGCTGGTACCATTCCTTCTGAAACTATTCCAATCAATAGAAAAAGAGGGAAACCTCCCTAACTCATTTTATGAGGCCAACATCATCCTGATACCAAAGCCTGGCAAAGACACAACAAAAAAAGAGAATTTTAGACCAATATCCCTGATGAACATCGATGCAAAAATCCTCAATAAAATACTGGCAAACCGGATTCAGCAGCACATCAAAAAGCTTATCCACCATGATCAAGTGGGCTTCATCCCTGGGATGCAAGGCTGGTTCAACATTTGCAAATCAATAAACATAATCCAGCATATAAACAGAACCAAAGACAAGAACCACATGATTATCTCAATAGATGCAGAAAAGGCTTTTAACAAAATTCAACAGCCCTTCATGCTAAAAACGCTCAATAAATTCAGTATTGATGGAATGTACCTCAAAATAATAAGAGCTATTTATGACAAACCCACAGCCAATATCATACTGAATGGGCAAAAACTGGAAAAATTCCCTTTGAAAACTGGCACAAGACAGGGATGCCCTCTCTCACCACTCCTATTCAACATAGTGTTGGAAGTTCTGGCTAGGGCAATCAGGCAAGAGAAAGAAATCAAGGGTATTCAGTTAGGAAAAGAAGAAGTCAAATTGCCCCTGTTTGCAGATGACATGATTGTATATTTAGAAAACCCCATTGTCTCAGCCCAAAATCTCCTTAAGCTGATAAGCAACTTCAGCAAAGTCTCAGGATACAAAATTAATATGTAAAAATCACAAGCATTCTTATACACCAGTAACAGACAAACAGAGAGCCAAATCATGAATGAACTTCCATTCACAATTGCTTCAAAGAGAATAAAATACCTAGGAATCCAACTTACAAGGGATGTAAACGACCTCTTCAAGGAGAACTACAAACCACTGCTCAGTGAAATCAAAGAGGACACAAACAAATAGAAGAACATACCATGCTCATGGATAGGAAGAATCAATATCGTGAAAATGGCCATACTGCCCAAGGTTATTTATAGATTCAATGCCATCCCCATCAAGCTACCAATGAGTTTCTTCACAGAATTGGAAAAAACTGCTTTAAAGTTCATATGGAACCAAAAAAGAGCCCGCATCTCCAAGACAATCCTAAGTCAAAAGAACAAAGCTGGAGGCATCACGCTACCTGACTTCAAACTATACTACAAGGCTACAGTAACCAAAACAGCATGGTACTGGTACCAAAACAGAGATATAGACCAATGGAACAGAACAGAGTCCTCAGAAATAATACCACACATCTACAGCCATCTGATCTTTGACAAACCTGAGAGAAACAAGAAATGGGGAAAGGATTCCCTATTTAATAAATGGTGCTGGGAAAATTGGCTAGCCATAAGTAGAAAGCTGAAACTGGATCCTTTCCTTACTCCTTATACGAAAATTAATTCAAGATGGATTAGAGACTTAAATGTTAGACCTAATACCATAAAAACCCTAGAGGAAAACCTAGGTAGTACCATTCAGGACATAGGCATGGGCAAAGACTTCATGTCTAAAACACCAAAAGCAACGGCTACCAAAGCCAAAATTGACAAATGGGATCTAATTAAACTAAAAAGCTTCTGCACAGCAAAAGAAACTACCATCAGAGTGAACAGGTAACCTACAGAATGGGAGAAAATTTTTATCCAGAACCTACAAAGAACTCAAACAAATTTACAAGAAAAAAAACAAACAATCCCATCAAAAAGTGGGCAAAGGATATGAATAGACATTTCTCAAAAGAGGACATTCATACAGCCAACAGACACATGAAAAAATGCTCATCATCACTGGCCATCAGAGAAATGCAAATCAAAACCACAATGAGATACCATCTCACACCAGTTAGAATGGCGATCATTCAAAAGTCAGGAAACAACAGGTGCTGGAGAGGATGTGGAGAAATAGGAACACTTTTACACTGTTGGTGGGATTGTAAACTAGTTCAACCATTATGGAAAACAGTATGGCAATTCCTCAAGGATCTAGAACTAGAAGTACCATATGACCCAGCCATCCCATTACTGGGTATATACCCAAAGGATTATAAATCATGCTGCTATAAAGACACATGCACACGTATGTTTATTGCGGCACTATTCACAATAGCAAAGACTTGGAATCAACCCAAATGTCCATCAGTGACAGATTGGATTAAGAAAATGTGGCACATATACACCATGGAATACTATGCAGCCATAAAAAAGGATGAGTTTGTGTCCTTTGTAGGGACATGGATGCAGCTGGAAACCATCATTCTTAGCAAATTATCACAAGAACAGAAAACCAAACACCGCATGTTCTCACTCATAGGTGGGAACTGAACAATGAGATCACTTGGACTCGGAAAGGGGGACATCACACACTGGGGCCTATCATGGGGAGGGGGGAGGGGGGAGGGATTGCATTGGGAGTTATACCTGATGTAAATGACGAGTTGATGGGTGCTGACGAGTTGATGGGTGCAGCACACCAACATGGCACAAGTATACATATGTTACAAACCTGCACATTATGCACATGTACCCTAGAACTTAAAGTATAATAAAAAAAAAAAAAAGAAATCCATATCACCATATTACAATTATTGTCATCATGTATCTGCTGATGCACTTAAAGCCAACGATACTTAAAGCCAGTGTCAAATAGGGTCCTACCAGTACCATGTCCACCTGGTCCCCACCAAACACATTAACTCATTTAATCCTCATGAAAAGCTTATGGGCACGTCCTATTGTTATCTCTATTTTACAACTAAGGAAACAGGAGCACAACAAATTCAATCACAGAACAAGAAGTAGTAAATCTGGCCATTTGAACTAGGCAGTTCGGCTCCTGAGCCTATTCTTCTCATTTCTATGATATATTTAATAACAATCGTTACAGAGCACAAGATACTGTTTTCATTTTCATTTCTTTAGTCATATTCACATAGCATAGTTATATCTAATTATGTTGCATGTGAAGACCAAGTATGGCTCCCAAATTCCCTGTAGTAGAATTATAAATACATTTAAAAAGGAAAGGAACATAGAGGGAGGCTACTTGAAATGTTCACTGACAACAAATAACTCACAATCCATAGCTTTACAAACACTGGCTTAAAACTTAACATTCCTTCAATTCAGCATTTTAGGAAAAACTATCAAATAAGGGAATGTAAAATAATTCTATCTAACATGTTAGGTTTTATATGCTTATCCTACAGTTGCAATGACACTGTTGAATCTTTATATGTTGGGAGTGTAAAATTTTCCATAAAACTGGATTACTCTCCCTAAGTAAACTTTACTTAGGGAGAACAGAATAACTGACAGAGAATAACTTTAAAAGTGACTCCCAATAATAAGTATTTTTAATAACCTCCTGGTCATTTACTTTTAAAGAAAGTCAAGACATTTAAAAGACTATATAAAGACGTTACCTTCAAATTGAACAGAACTTTTTTGTTTTTTTCTATCTCTGATGCTTGTGATTGTTGTTGCTTTGCAACTTTCTCTACAGCATCAGCTAACGAACTTGTGTCTTGGTTATCTACAATTAGACAAAAGAATAAAGTATATAATAAAAATTAAAATACAGCTGTTTTAAGAAAGTTATGTTTCTTTACTCAAAATCATTAAATATTTGATGCTTTTGCCTCTAAACTAAATTTAGAATTAGGAATTTTCCCTTGCTGATATAAACAAAACCAAAAGTAAAGGCAACAATAATAGGCAATTCAAAGGTGCCTACTGCAATGTTATACCTGTTCCTTTATGGAACAGTATAAATATTTTGATTGTCCTAATTTTTTTATCCAGACCACTTGCACATATACTATAATTATAGTGCTACCATAACAGCTCTATAGCAATTACAGTTAATGCATTCTCATTATAATTCTGTATTTTCAGTTTAGTATGCCTTTTTAAAACACTGTATATGTTTGTCCCGGCTAAATGTAACTGCTTCCATCTATTCTAATTTGCTATCAATTTTAACACAATTATCCTACCAGACTACTTTTGTTGTTGTTGCTGATCTTTTAATTATTCATTTCTTAAGACTGTTTCATCACCTTTTTTAGGAAATCCTTGACTCTTCCTTTCTTTGTTGTCTGACATTTTCTGTGTCTGTAATCTCCTCTTTTCCCCTTTTTGATTTACCTTCTTTACTCCTACTCAATAATCTATATTGATAATCTTTCACTTTTGTTTTTTCCTGTTGTATACTGGTGACCCTGAAAGGTAAATTAATTGTCAAACATGTCACAGGGATGTCAATGACATTTCATCATTAGTGCCAAGAATTAGAATACAATGGTTAAGTGATTTTGGAATGAAAGTAGAACTGTATTTGAATTTTGCTGCTTCTGCTTTTCCACTGTTGTGACCTTGAGTAAGTTTCTTAACTTCTTTGATCCTCAGTACCTCATCTTTAAAACTTCATAAAGCTGTTCTAATAATTAAAGTAATATATGTAGCATGCTTAGAACAGTACCTGATATATACTGCATAATTATTTTGGGTTAGTATTAATAGTATGTAACTCCAGTACTATGAGGAAATAGATTCTGAGACTATAACCAGAATCTGTGAGAAATGATATCAACAACGATTAACAATTTCTGCTATGGGTGTGGAATCCAGGGAATATAGCACTCCTGTCCAGTGCTATTCTGGACACAGTAAGCCCTAAGCAAATTTTGATCTACTCTTTATTTAGGAGTAACGATAGGAAGAATAAGTATTTTTCTCCTTAAATCACTAAATACCTTTCTAAAGATCAATTACAAAGATCCATGTACTAGTTACATGTGTCTAAAAAAATTTAAAGGATTGAAACCTGATATATATGCAACAAAAAAGACAAGCAAAGTTAAATCGTTTCCTGTGTAGAGATCAAATCTATCTAGAAATATACATCCAAGCTAAAGAAATCATGAGGGCTTACCTAGCAGATTATCATAACCATTCCTTGAAATTTATAATTCGTTCCTGTTCCTTCATGTCACTTCCTTCAACTCTCACTTCAAACCTACTCCTTCATGAAGTCTTCCCTGAAGCTGAGCCATTTACTCCGTTCACGTTACATACTTTTTGCTCAACACACAGAAATGTCCCAGATTAGTGCTAATGAATCCAAACCTGATTTTCTCTCTAGCGCTTTCATTTGGGTTTCACCGTCACAGACTTCATCCTTAAATATATCTACCTTGAAAAATGCATGCCCTCTACATTTATACTTTCAGTATATACTGTCAGTTCTCTCAATTAATTACAATAGTAAAAACTTATACTTACTTTGTGCTAGTCACTGTTGTTCCAAGTGCTTTAGATTAAAAAAAAAATTATATAGTGTTTATTCTGTGCCAGATGGTATTCAAAGAACTTTACAAATAGTAACTCATTTAACCCTATAAGGTAGATATTATTACAATTTTCATTTTACAAAAAAAAGTACAGTGAGGTACACAAATGGATATAAGAATTTATCCAAAGAGAGCCATTAAATGTAAGATATATGATTTGAATTCAAGTATTTTGGTTCCAAAGTTCATGCTCTTAATGTTAGACTATGATAGACTACCAAGATTATGACTTTTTATGGGAAGAACTATGTCTTCCATATATCACTCCAGAATAAAACTAGAGTCATCCCACAGTATATGCAGGGGATTGGTTCCAAGTCACCCCCTTCCCCACTTCATATCAAAATCTGTGCATATTCAAGTCCCAAAGTCAGTGCTTCAGAACCCACTTACATGAAAACTTGGCCCTCCTTACATGGGGATTTCAAGTCCCGCATATACTGTATATTTGATCTGAGTTTGGGTGAAAATACCCATGGGTAAGTGAACCTGCATAGTTCAAACCTGTGTTGTTCAAGGGTCCACTACATTTTGTATTCCTATGATGCTAAAACATCACTTTAATCAACTTACTCTTTCTATTCCCACTACTACCATCTACATTTCTTCTTTGGGAAAGTGGTAAAGTGCATCTATTCTGGTAAAGTGCATTTATAGAGCTGCTGCAGCTCCAACAGGCCTCCAATGGCCTAATGAGACTTGCCTGAAGAGGTAATCCAATGAGTTCTTCATGCTCTCACCTAGCAGTAAATTCCTGTTAGGTAACTTACCTTCCTGGTGAGTCCCCATTTCTCTCTCCCCCAAATCACAGTGCCATTTCCATAAGCTGCCTAAAATATTGTGGGCATCATTCCCATTAAATTCTACATCCCTATTAACTTCAGTCTTCAGAAGAAGACAGCATTCTTCATCATGAGAACCCATCCTTATTCAGCTTGGTAAGCCCCTTAGTGTGATGCTGTATTACCCACTCCCCAACCCTTTTCTATCCTTCCACTTTGACTTCTGAAATTCATGGGCCATCTTCAGCAAAGTCCTTTCTATTGTCAACCTTTTCAGTGAACTTCCCTTTTACCTTTTGGCTTTAACTGAAGTCCAAAGATACAGCTTCCTCATTCTCAAGCCACTAAGTCTGAAGATTAAACATTTCTTTTTCTGTTCTCCATTCCACTGCCACCATATTTCCTTTTCTTCTCTCTAAAACCCTCTCTGGTTTCTTTGAAATTCAGGCCATAGACTACATAGGCTTTTTCCTTGTTGTTATCAGCTATCTTCCAGGTCTTGGAAGGCTCATTACTAGATTATAGCATCTGACTTACTGTTCCTCTATCACTACTCTCTCGTATTTCCTTGGGAATTTCAATATCCACACAAATGGTATATCTAAAACCCTGAACTCTCAGTTGTTTCGAGGTCTTCTTTCATTTATTCTCCCCAGCAACCCATAGAGTATAACTGAACCTCATCCATAATCTCAGATTCAAACTACTGTTTATTTTTCTAGCTCATCCCATCTAGTATTTTGACAGTATGTGCTGTTTAACCCCGCAAGACTTCCAATCCATTGACTCTTGTATCTTTACACATTCCCTCAACCCTTCATGTATTCTTCCCTCCTTACTTCGCTTAGATTCCTTTGCTTTCACCCTCATTTCCCTTACAGCTCACTCCCTGTCCTAATTCCCTGGAAGAATCCCAACCAGCTGCTTTGCTTATCCTCAAGTAGCTGAATATGCTTAAAGAAAGACATACAACTATGCTGTTGACTCACTTGAAATTCAAGACCATTTTATGTCAAGTGGGACCTTGATCCTAGGCTCTTAAGATGCACCAAGTTATGTAGATGATTGTTTCACTCTTTATCCTCTGTCTTCAAACTTCCCACACCTCTTTTCCCTTCCTTTGAGTTGATAATTTACCTTCTAATTTAACTGAGATAGAAGAAAAAAAATCAAAGATGGTAAATTACCCATCTACCAGATTTTGTACCTGTACCTGTATACCAGCATACTGTTTTCTTGCAATAAATAAAGTGTTCTTGCTCCTATCTAAGGCCAGTCCTCTACTTTTGTACTCCCTTCTCACAGACATTACTTCTTTGAATGGCCCCTCAACAGAATTTCCTTATTTATTGGTCAAATGTATTATTCTGAACAGTCCATCATAAATCAACAACCACTACCACCACCACCCTTGCTTGACACCATAATCTCCTTCAGTACTGACCCATTTCTTTTCTCCTCTTTAAAGCCAAGATCCTTGCTCTCCACTTCCTCTCCTCTTTCTTCTTGAACCCACTAGAACCAGTCATTTATCACTGTGCTTTTAAGATTTTTATCACAGTATCTGTGAGCTCCACATTGCCACATTCAATGAACAAGTTCCGTCTTCATTTTACTTGACTTATTGACATCATTTAACACATTTGATAATTACTGCCTTCTTGAAACACCATACTTCTCGGTGTCCTTTGTTGGTCCTTTCTCGTCTTTTTCACTTATGTTATACCTCCCAGTGCTCAGTCCTCAGGCTTCCTTCTTTTCTCATACTTATTCTACATGTGATGCCATCTAGTCCTACGGCTTTAAAATCCACCTGTAGGCGGACAATTCCCAAATTATATCTCTACCCTGAACATTCCTGTTGAGATGCAGACTCATACTCATTGCCTACATGATATCTCCATTTGGATTTTTAATAGACATTTCAACTCAGTATGTCCCAAACTGAACTCTTGATTCCTCTGTCCACTCTATTACCACCACTAAACCTGCACCTTCACAGTCTTCTCTCAGTAAATTATAAGTTCGTTTTTCTTGTTCTTTAGGCCAAAAACCCTGAATTCATTAGCAGGGAGGTCTCTACAAGGGTATAGAGCCCAAGGCAATTCAACTAGACTTGCCCAAGGCAATAATAAAGGATATCTTATTGTTGATGTCTCATAGGCCCTTTGAGAAATCCTTAACACTCCAAGGGTGCTGCCCCGATTGACCTACTCAAAAGATGAGCCAGAACCTTCACTGTTTTTCCATTACGAGCTACATGCAGTTCTTTTGGCAAAGCCCATTGGCTCTACCTTTAAATTATACTGGAATCCAATCACTCCTTACCAATTCGAAATACTATCTTAGTAGAGAAGCCTTCCCTGATAACTCTCTCTTTCACCCTCTGTTTCCTTGCCCTGCCTCATTTTTCTTGACAGCATCTATCACCACTGACATCTCCATATCCTTCTACTAATGTAAGCTCCATGATGGCAGAGGTCTACAAGTGCCTGGCATATAACAGGTGTCTAATTATAGTCTATCTCCACTCCAGTTTGCCCTTTTCTAACAGAATGATGCTCCAAAAGCACTACTCTGATCATGTCAACATCACAGCCAATCTTTCAATTCCATTTAGATGGTTTTTTCTTGATCTTTCTGGGAAGATATGGTCTTTCTCTTTTTAGAAGAATTGTTTCAGTATTTCTATTATGCCATTTTAAATAAAGGTATAGGTCTAAAGTAAGACAGAGCTAGTTTTGAATCTAAATTACACTACTTATTAACTTATTAGGAAAATTATTTCCAACCTGGGCCACAGACTCCTTACCCATAAAATGGAAACAATATTAGTGCCTGCTTCATTAGGGTGATTGTGAAGACTAAATGAAATAATGCATGTTAAGCATTTAGCAGATTCCTCTCCCACAATGAATACTCAACAGATTTTTATTTTTATTATTTTCATTATTTTATAGTATCTTTCCGCATTAGATTGTAAGCACCGGGAAGGCAAATACAGTGTTTTATTCATTTTTGTATTCCTTAAAGTATTTGATAAAGTAACCTAAAAAATAAAGAAAATTTGATTTATACAATAAAAATAAAGTAACTAGTACTTCTTGATCTCTATTTCTATAGCAACATAAATTGAAGAACTCTTGGATAATATTTATTTAAACCAACTATTCATAAAATTCATGCTGTAAAATTGGAAACATTTTGGGTTTTTTCCCAGATTTCTATTGTGCAATGAAAAGAAAAATGAAAACAAATTACTGCCATCTACCGATAATTCATTAGAATTGCATAAATTAAGGAAACAGTCTTTTAGAGACAAGACTGTCTTTTCAAATACGCTTTTAAGATAAGTTAGAACATCATCAGAGTCATCCGAAAATAATTAATTGAATAATTAAAAATAAACTGTATACCTATCATATACCTGTACCGCTGAATCTGCTGACACTAGGGATTACTTCCTTTCCTGGTCAGGCAATGAGATTAGAGTTTCAGGGCACTGAAAAAGAAAGAAACCAGAGGGTTTGTACTGTTCCTTACCTCCCTATCCAAGATAATATAGGCAACATTCATACATTATCCACACTGCTTCTAGATTTCTACCAAAGGAGGGGCTTTGCTGAATGTATAGACAGTACTGGACTACCGAAACATCTCTTGTTTTGGAGTGCAGACATAAAGGAGTTGGTCTGCAACTCAAATCCAAGCTTTAAAGGATGTCTAGGCAACTGCTTCAAAAACATTTCTACCTCTGGGACAGAAGTTATATAGACCTTTGGTGAAATCCAGTATAACCTACCTGCTTGTCTCATTCAGAGAGGCAAGAGGCAAGGTCTTTTTTTCCTCCCCCTCTAAATAAGTAAACATGATTTCTAAACCAAGAGGAACTTTATAGTGGGTTAAATGGTGCCCTCGCGCACATCCAAAGATATATCCATGTCCTAACTCCCAGAACTTGCAAATGTGACCTTATTTTGAAAAAGGAGTTTTGCAGGTGTAACTGGGTTAAAGATCTTGAGATGAGATCATCCTGGCTTTAGGGTAGGTGACTGAATATGCCAATGGACAATGGCCAGACCATATGTAAAAACAGAACTCTGACCCACAACCTCCAGCAAGCAACCCAGGAGACCAACCCATTATCTACAGTAATCAGTCCAGGAAGTCTATAGATTAGACTTGTAGAAAGTCATATCATTATCGCTAATAACAATCCTAGGAGACAAACTATAACAATCAGCCCAAATGACCAGTAATGGATTAATAACTGGCATCTTCCCTAACTTTTGTCCCCATTTCCAAGGTGAGACTAACAAGAAGAAGCCATAGAATGCTCCACTTCTAGTTGGCCTGCCTGCAGCTTCCTCATGCCGAGAGCCTCTAATTAGGGCATGCCCACTCCTCTGCCTGCCTTTGGCTCTGCTAAAATGCAGGAGATCGTGGCTCCCTCCCTTACAAGGCCTGAATAAATAGCTTTTGCTTGTTCTCATTTGATTGATCTTCATTGATTTCTACACAAGAATCCTTATAAGAGAAAGGTAGAGGGCTATTTGAGACTCAGACCCACATAGAAGACCATTTGATGATGGAGGCATGGAGCTCCAAGTCACTTAGCCCCTAGGCAAAGAACACCTGAAGTCACCAGACAACAGAAGACGTCAGTGAACAGAAGAGGTAAGTGCTGTCAACACCTCAGTTTCATTATCTGGCCTCTGTAACTGTGAGAGAACAAGTTTTTGTTGTTTTTAGTCACCCAGTTAGTGCCAATTTGTTATGGTAGCCCTAGGAAATGAACAGAAGCTTTTAGCAAGGAAATTTGCATCTGTTACATGGCCTTTTCTGGACAGATCCATAAACCTTAGTGTAAATGGCTTAAAAATGACTGTTTTGTTTCTTAAAATCATACTTGTTCTCATGAGAAGATTTACATAGCATTATAAAAATGTCTGGGAAGTTCTTCAGTAGTTTCCCATAATAGCCAGGCACCATCTCTGCCCTCAAAACACTCTAGGTAGAAAGACACATAGTCAATTAAAATGGAGAGGTACAGTAGCTGATGTCTTAGCCGGTCTACACATAACCTCTAACCAGTTAACTCACTCTATTTCCTTTGTAAGTCATAAGTGACTAATTCCCGTATCATGCTAGGAAACTGTTATCTAGTAAATCTGCCCATTTCTGGTCCTATCAATTGACTAGTTCAATCTTATGACTTACTTGTGTTTGTTTGCAAATCTGTTTTTGCCAGTTGTACTTGATATTGTGCTTTTGTAACTTTATATTGTATAAACCAATGAAAGAGTGTGAAAATTGTTTCTTTAAAAATCTATGTTTAATATTTTGGAAAGACCCAACAAAGGTATGTGAGATTAACTGTAAAAGATTATAAAGTATAGTGGTGGCTCATGCCTGTAATCCCAGCACTTTGGGAGTCTGAGGTGGGTGGATCACAAGGTCAGGAGTTCGAGACCATCCTGGCCAACATGGTGAAACTCTATCTCTACTAAAAATAAAAAATTAGCCGGGCGTGGTGGTGCATGCCTGTAATCCTAGCTACTCAGGAGGCTAAGGCAGGAGAATCACTTGAACCCGGCGGAGGTTGCAGTGAACCAAGATCGCACCACTGTACTCCAGCCTGGCGACAGAGCGAGACTCCATCTCAAAAAAAAACACAGTGAAGCTTGGTATTCTGTATGGCAGCATCTTGTTGATAAATTTGTCTTGTCCCTTTAGTTTCTGCAGAGATATTGTTTGTTTTTCATAAGCCTATGAAGTTCATTCTGTAATATATTTTAACATTATCATTATTTATTCAAAATTTTAAACATGAGATGAAAATCAATGTTTTAATCATATGAATATAGGAAAATCATCACAAAATATATTTATCAGATATTAAAATTGATGAATAAAAGGAAACATGTGCAACAAATACTATTTTATAATTCTCTGCATGAAATCTCAGTTACATATTTTTTAATGTTCATCTAATTCTAAATATTAAAATCTCATGTTTTATCTTGACATTTTATATATGTAAGATACTTTATAATAATTTTACTAATTTATTTACAGGCATCAGCACACACTAGGAAAGACAATATGATAAAAAAATGATAAAGCCCCCACAACAATCAAAAGACCTAGGTTCTAACACTCCTTATTGCTATTTACTATTTGTATAATCAATGTAACAAACTTTGTTACCCCATTCAAACTACACTTTTCTCCATTTGTAAAATGAGTATAAAGATATTTTACTTTGCCTCCTGGGGCACTTGCATTCCTAACTGCTGTCTTCTTTTAAAGTCTAGTTTTCACACCAAATTAGTCTTTTTCCGGTTCTCCTTAGAAATTTCTGAGAATTCGCCTCAATCTCAACAGTTCCTTCAAATATAGGTCTCTCATCATAATTTCTCTCTTTCTCACTCTCTTCTATATGCCTCTTGCAATTTCATCCAAATTTACATATTCAGCTACATATCTGCTGATGATTCACAGAATGTAAGTGGCTGCTGAGTTCTACACCCAGCCGCCTCACTGGCCACCCCAAATTCACCATATCCAAAAATTGAATGAACTTCTTCTACAACCACAGCCAATTACTTGTATCAATTATCTATATTGCCAGAACTACAAAACCTCAGTAGCATACAATAATACATAAGTATATACTGCTGACATGACTAGGAGCAGCTGAGATTGTCTAGGTAGTTCATAAGCCTGGGAGAAAATGGATGGTTGGCTAGGTGGTTCTGCTGATCTTGCTGAATCTGCCCAAGTGTTTGGGGATTGGCTGATTGTAAGATGATTTAAATTGGAGTTTTAACTGGGTATTGACAGGTGTCTTGCTTTATATGTATCTGCCCCTCCAATGTACAACCCAGGCATGTCATGACAATAGTAGATGCAGAAGAGTGAACAATTCAGTTATGAAGAGTTTTTAAAGCTTTTGTTTGAGTCGCATCTATAACACCTCAGCTAGTCACATAATCAAACCCAGAGTCATAAGGTGGAAGTGTATCCATCCATTGCGGAAAGCATTATAACATATGGCGCGGTATGATAGACTAAGGGATGAAAAATTGGGACCAAAAATGCAAATTATCACACTCCTATGTTCCCCAACTTAGTTAATGGTAAGGTGAGAACCTCTGATTTATAGCCAGTTGGTCAGAAGTATGGGTAGCTCAGACTTGTGGGACTGGCACAGAAGCAGGCAGTCTTATGACTGAGCCCCCTATCTTCTGAGCCGATGCTGATTCCAGATAGACAGTAGTCCCTCCTTATCCAGGAGAATATGTTCCTGAGACTCCGTGGAATGCCTTCCGAAACCATGGACAGTACTGAACTCTATATACTCATACTTTTTTCCCATACATACATACCTATGATAAAGTTTAACATATAAATTAGGCACAATAAGATAATAACAACTGAATAATTATAATGATATACTACAAAGGCTATGTGAATATAGTCTTCTCTCCTATCTTATTGTACTGGTACTCAAATGGCAAGTGTTTCTTTTATTGGCAGACTTGAGGTCTCTCTCACTTTTGATATTTTTCAGTCCTAAACCTGTTTCTGAATCTGTGTGACTATCCCTTACTTAGCAGTCACTTATTTTGCAGAAAATCTCTTTGCTGAGGTCTCTACATAGACTTAGTGCCTTCTAGAGCAACATGTGGCCGTTATTTGGAACATGTTTTCTGTCTTGTTCTTCCACTCCAGAAATTTAATGTCTTTTCATCCAACTACACTATTACACACTGTAGTCCATAACTTCCTGCAGTCTAGAGGCAATATAAAAATTGAATATGAATTTCCTTTTTCTTTTTTGGAGACAGGAATCTCTGAGTCTTGTTCTATCGCCCAGGCTAGAGTGCAGTGGTGTGATCTCGGCTCACTGCAACCTCTGCCTCCCAGGTTCAAGTGATTGGTCAGCCTCAGCCTCCAAGTAGCTGGGATTACAGGCGTGCACCACCATGCCTGGCTGTTTTGTATTTTTAGTAGAGACAGGGTTTCACATATTGGCCAGGCTGGTCTCGAACTCCCCACCTCAAGCTATCCATCCGCCTCAGCCTCCCAAAGTGCTGGGATTATGAGTGAGCCACCACAGCCTAGGCCAGGAATTTATTTTTCCTTCTTTACAACTTCACAGATGGATGATTTGTCCTTTGATTTCACAGGATCTTGTGCAACTTCAGTGTATGATATTTTCTTTCCTTGCTGAGAACTTTCACCTCTCACTTAAAGCAAGTACTTTACAGCTTCCTTGACATATCCTGAACTGCTAGCCATCACTACGCGATACTTGGGGCGATTAAGTAAAAATAAGGTTTGCTTCCTTCTTTGCACAGGCACTTGTTAATTTGCCTCAATAATTTAACTGCCAACTGAGATTTTAATCTCCAATGGGCGACTGAAGAAATAAGGCTTCCAGATATGCAGATTACAAATGGATGTAAAGACATCAGTCCCAAGCAGATATAGGATAAAGCAGATTTAATCACACCTAAACACTCCATAATTTAGTAACTTGAATAACATAAATCAGTTTATCTCTTATCCTATCAGTCACTTAATCAATCACTTAGATGTTGCTTGAACTCGCAATCAGTAATGGTAGAACGTTCAGGAGGTGTCGTGAAACAAACCACCCAATGATCAACCATAGAAAATGGCATCCTGAGAATTTGAAACTTATTGCTAAATGAGAAAATGTCTTATAGCGATTTTAACATTTCTTCTTAAAATTACTTTTGATATTCTCCTAAGTCTGCGCCGATATACAGATTTTAATTAGTTTGTAGTTTCCCAAAATTTCCAAACTTGGATCGACTGCGCTTATAATAATAAACTGAAAAATTTAATATATTAGTAGTGATTGAAATCTCCTATAAAGTTACAAATGATGTCACATTTGAAGCTTCAATTTTCTATAATAGGTTTGCATAAAGCTTGTATACTGGACTTAAAATCTTATATTTTATCTTACAATAATGTAGGGAGTTAGCTTGATGCATTTTATAGGTATTGTTTAGCGTTAATTTGACTTCTCCTGCCAATGTGTGAGAAATGCCACATATATTTGTATATTATCTTATTCCTGCAATCTTTTCTAACCTCTACTATTAGTTCCCAGTAGCTTTTTATAGCTTCCTGGGATTTTATTTAAATAAAAATAATGTCATCTGTGAATAAAACCAGATTTCCTATTTCTTTCTTTCCAAACTGAATGAGTTTTTCTTCTTTTACTTGCATAGCTATACTGGCTTGAACTGCCAGTACCATCTTGAATAGAAGTAAGAGGAGACATCTTTGTCTTGTTCCTGATCTTAGGAGAAAAACATTCATTATTTACCATTAAGTGCATAAAAGGTTAGAGAATTTATTTAGGCTGTTCTTTCTCCTTAGATTATTAGTTCTTTATTTCCAATTAAGGAGAGTTATCATGAATGGATATTGGATTATAATAAGTGCTTTTTATGTATCTAGGAATTCTTCTAAAAAATACAAATTTAATTATTTGCTTCTTGCTTAAAATCTGTCAAATGCTTCTCATCAACTTTAAAGTTGAAGCTTCTTATCGTGGTATATATCTTCCATGATTTTCTGAAAACGTACTGTAATTTACTTTACTATCAAACTATTTATGGTTCTAGAATGTACCAATGCTAGCTCTCAGCTCCTCTGCAACAAATATCCTCTGGTGAATATCCTTAGGTCCTTTTTATTTTGAATATTATCTTCCTACTCCCTAACCTTAAACTTGTCCCAGATACCTAATCATTCAGATGAACTCCAGCTGCCATTTAAAACCAACTGAAAACATCATTATTTTGGGATCACTTCAGTGCTGAATCTGTGTTGCGCCCATGCTCTTACTGGCTGACACTACTACTCTACACAGTACTATTTGTTTACTTTGTCTTCCCAACAGATGGTAAAGTAACATAAGAGAGAAGACAATGTCTGAATGTAAATGCTTAACAAAGTAGGCTCAATATAAATGGGAATAAAGTCTATGAAACTCTTTGAAGACTGGCAATGATAAAATACCTCTTACAAAACTATGACACTAGTTTTTGAATTACATTCACTGTATAGCTGTATTCTTTTCTAGAAGTGACTAATATAATACAAATATTTATAAGAAATCCAAGAGGGCTTAAGGAAGATGGCCGAACAGGAACAGCTCCAGTCTCCAACTCCTGACGAGCGCCACACAGAAGACCGGTGATTTCTACTTTCAACTGAGGTAATGGGTTCAACCTCACTAGGAGGCCGGACAATCGGTGCTAGCCAAGCAGCAGCCCGACTCACAGAAAGCTGGAAGCGCAGGTGGGGTCAGCTTGACACGCCTCACCTGGGAAGCCGGCAGTGGGGAAAGGGAACCTTTCTCAGCTAGGGAACTGAGACACACAAAACCTGGAAAATCGGGTAACTCCCACCCCAATACTGCGCTGCCAAACAGAGCACA